ATAATCAGATCTATATAGATATACCAATGGGTGTTAGGTGTTTGGGTGAGGTAAAGATTTTTTATTTATTTCCAATTGTTGCTATGTAGATATTTATCTCTTAATAATTGTCTCTTGATAATTTGAGATTTGTTTGTGTGTTAATCTGCTTGATTGCTTGTTTGTTTTATGTAGTGGTTCTTACTACAAAGCACGGTGGTCTGTCTGCCTGCCAACATGTCGTTCAGCCTGTTAGCCTGTCGTTCTGACTGCCAGCCTATCGGTCTGCCAGCCTGTCCATCTGTCACCCTGTCTGTCTGCCAGCCTGTCGGCATATCGGTCTGTCGTTCTGTCTGCCAGGCTGTCGTTCTGTCTGCCAGCCTGTCGGTCTGCCAGCCTGCCAACATTCCGGTCTGTCAGCCTGCCAGCATGTCGTTCTGTCTGCCAGTATGTCAGCCTGCCGGTCTGCCAACATGTCGGCCTGTAAGATTGCCGGTCTGCCAGCCTGCCGGCATTCCGGTCTATCAGACTCCCAGCCTGTCGTTCTGTCTGCCAGTCTGTCGGACTGCCAGCCTGTCGGTCTGCCAACCTGCCGGTCTGTCATGATCAGACTGTCTGTCTGTCTGTCGATCTATATCCTTGCAACCATGGGATAATATAGGAATATCTTATGGTTTTGTAAAAAATATCATTAATATCCATGAGTGGATATATGATATCTTCATGAGCGCAGTTGATGTGTGACGATATTGATATCAATGAATGGATATAAATGATATTTTTTAAAACCATTGGATTGTCCGTTTATCCCAGGGAAATCATTACCCATGAATGTCCATGAGTGGATATATGATATCTTCACAAGTGAGCGCAGTGAATGAGAAAAGATATTAATATCCATGAGTGGATATAAATTATATTTTTTCAAAACCATAGGATTGTCCGTACATACATATATATCCCCCGCTGTATATCTCTCGCTCCAATATTCCGGGGAAAACGTTTTTGTCCAGTGTAGAAACAGTCAATTTTTTATATGTTATATCTTGCAAAAGCGAAACTGTCAAAATGGATGCAGCAGAAAAAAATCTGCACTATTGGTGTCCTAAAAACCGCACTCGTGAAATCTTACTTGTCATGAGATAAATCAGTTATGCGATGCTCGGTTTTTAATATGGGGTATATCCCTCGGGAAATATGATATCTTACCTCGGACCATCCGGGCCCTCGGTAAGATATCTATATTCCTCTTAGCAAGATAGGATATATCCCAAATACAGAACCTCACATAACCCTAATTTATCCCATGGTTGCAAGGATATAGATCGAATATCACCTGAAGATATATTTGATATGTGGATCAAGATATCATATTTTAGCAAAAAAAACAACCATCGAATATCACTTTTGACACCATCGAATCTCACTTTTTCATATTAGAAATCTTGAAACAATCGAGTATCACTTTTTATATTAAAAGTGATATTCCATGGTTTCAAAAAAAGTGATATTTGATGGTTTCGATTCTTTTAAATTTTCGTATACTTTACATCAAACAACTGATCAACAGAACAAAACAGTCTGGCATGTAAAGGAGAAAGCGAAATAGTCTAGTCTGCCGGAACAGTATGGCTTTCACATAAGTGATACAATAATGGCAATACGAATTGCCATTATTACATACTTGAAATTATCTGCAACTTTACTCATAGGATTCGTTATTTATTGAACCATAGCACAAACACAGCTATTCGACAGATATGTTACTTTTTAATTAATAACATAAATAAACATCACATTGCTTTTTTAGTCATTTATCAATGGTTCAAAACTCACGTCCCAACCAACCTGTAAAGTGCCAAATTCACGTCTTACCGCTGGTGTAAAATGAATGAGACCGTGAAATAAATAGTACATAGTTATGTAATAATGATCTCACTCACAATCTTTCGCGTACAGGTTCACAACAAGACGACAAAAACGCCCGGTGTGACAGTTTCACATGTCCACGCTAAATTATGTCCGATGGACTTATTTTCCTAGGAATGCAGGTCCGTCGGACACTAAGTCCTAGGAAAATTAGTCCAGGGACTTGCATACCTAGGAAAATAAGTCCGTCGGACATATTTTCCTTAGGACTGTATGTCCTATGCCTAGGATGAGTAGTCCGAGGCGGACTTGTATTCCTGGATGCCTGTCAGAAATTTAAGTCCATGTAAACTGTTTTACCTTAATATGTCAACCTTTCAATTCACGTTTTCATAAAATTAACAATAAAACATCCAACACATAAATATTGCATGTCATTTTTTATTCACGGGCAAAATATGACAGTGCAATTTGAATTGGTTAACTGCATGTACAAAAACAGTACACTTTAGATGAACTGTGTCACTATTACTGATTTGAAACAAAAACTACAGGTTTGTTGTATGTCTTAAAAATCTAATCTGAGGAATATATAAAGGATTTCATTTTTAATTTCTTGTGTATTCGCTTTGAAAGACTTTTAATTAAACATTCTGATTACGTTAAAAATTCTCTTTTTTCGCAGTAAATCTACCCACAAAATTTCTCGGTTGAAAATTGATAATTTTTCCCCTGACGCCCAAGAGTGTCGATTATTTTTATGAGAATATGTTTCTCTAAACTACACAATTTAGGTCGGTTGAATATTTAACAAGAATTTACTTTTTTTGCTACAATCTAAAAAAATTAACAAGTGTACGTTGTCAAATCAATGTTCGTTGTCCCATTGAACTTACACATCTTAATTCACAGACAACTCTATTGCAGACAACCTATTTTTTATAACACTAATCGGCAGGGGGTCAGATGCTTTTAAAACTGAAACTGAACAATTACAGTATTAATTTGCCTGATTGCACTATTGAACCTCTGCACTTTCAAGATATACAAACGCATAAACGGGATTTTAAAAGTTACCTTCGACTAGTTGGGTAGCTAGTATTGCAATCTCTCTATCAACTTCTTAAGACTATAAAAATTCATAAAATTATAATCTTAACAGAACGCAAACGAAAAAACGCCAAATGATCAAGATGTTGAATCTAAGACCCATTGGTCACATTTTGACCACCGCACCAACAATTTCATAAAATAAAATAGCACTCAACAAGAGGTCAGAAATTACATTTACCTTATCTTTATCAACACCTGTATTTGGGATACTTGAATATGTTCGTTGAACATGTTCAATTACAACTTGTTACTGATTAAAAACCTGAATGGATCTGAAACAAGACATGCAACAGCAACGCCAAAGCGCAGCAAATCCAATCGAACAGCAAATCGTAAAATAACACACAAAATGGCCACAATTTTCAACATGGTTACTCATTATTGCCAAATTATCATCAGAAAGTGTAATGTGCTTCTAAGAAAGCACATATAAACTTTCAACAAAATTGCACACACGTACGAGGGGTGATCAGGAATTTCTGTACCATTGGCTCTATTTTTTAAATTTCTTTTCCTTTCTAAGTGATTTTTTCACACAATGGCAAAGACGTTATTATATCTTTCAGGACTGGGTGAAAAGGCATGACAAATGCTTACAAAAAGCTGGTAACTACCTCGAAGGATTAAAATTGATGGGAGAATAGTGACAGTTACTATGAACATTAATGAATACACTTAATGAAATAATACACCCTATTACATGTCACATATTCAAAGCAGTTAGGTGAAGGTTATACTTGTAAAAAACTTAAGAAATCCTTTCTGGGCTTTGCTGAAAAGTACAAGTCATTAATTTCGAAATTTCATGTTTTACCACTTGAGATGCTGAAGGATGTAGGAATTGTATAATAAATTGGCAATGAACTCACAATTTTTTCACTTGGCATTTTTTGAGATGGATCCCGGCTATGGCATTAATGGTTGAGAAATAGGGATCGAAACCAGCCATAGTTTTCTCCTGATGACCATTGTGAATTGTATTTTATGCATTATGATGACGCCTTTGCGAACGGATGTTGACCCTTTGATTTGCCTTTGATTTGGACTTTGAGACTGGATTTTATCTATCCCACATCATTTGAGACTGAATACTCTATCGTTTATGAGTACTAGTATTTACAACTATTCAGATGTAATGAGAATTGGCCATCAATTTTTTCAAATTTTCATCAAAATGTTTTGTAATGACTTCAGTATGAATGAAATGTCCCTTGGTGTTCTGGTCCTGGATTGTGATATTGGTTCTCGATTGGAGGGGGTAGGGGGATGTTATACATTGTTTCTTTTCACGTTAGATCATGGTTTTGGGATATATACATGTAGGGTCTACTTTTCTTATGACAGAGTTACACTTACACTTTGCTTTTCTTGTTGGGTTTCTTTAAAGTTTTTAGTCACCCTTCCTTTTGGCATTTGTGCTTATATATTCGTGGTTTTCTTGGATGATATAATCTGTAATCGTTGATTTATTAAAGCTGTTAAAAGAATATTTTTTATTGTTTCTAGTGTATTGACTCTTTTTCTTATCTGCTTCTGTTTTGTGTTCCTTGATGCGAGTGCCAAGAGGTCTACTTGTTTCTCCTATGTAACTTTTATTACAATTGTTACATAGAACTTGATATACCACGGTCGCTTTGCAATCCTGTTTGACCTTATCTTTAGAATGAACGAGAACATTTCTTAGTGTTCGCATAGGTTCAAAAGCTACTTTGATATCTCTTTTCTTCATTATTCTTCTAATTTGCTCTGATACATTTTTCACATAGGGTATGGTTACTACCTTTTTTATTTTTGTCTTGTCCTTATTTGTATCTGCTTTACGTTCAAAACGTTCCTGTGTCTTTTTAATAGTCCATTTTAGGTAACCGCATCTTTCTAATGCTATTTTAACATTTGACGTTTCTTCTACTTTGTCCTCCTGTTCACTGCAAATCGAATCTCCTCTTCCTATTAACGTAGAAATTACCGACATTTTGTGTTCAAGAAGATGGCGTGATTGAAAGTTTAGATACTGATCTGTGTGGCTAGGTTTTCTACAGTACATCTTTATACATTGAACCATCCGAATTCCTGTTAAGTAGGTAGTTGTTATATGGTTACCAGGTAATGACATTTCACTTATCCGGTCCATGGCATTCCGTTTTATGCTTCATTTAGTTATTTCATTAGTTTAAAACAAGTACACCCTTAATACCTGATGTAATTTTGTTATGTATTAAAGTAGGGAATATTCCATAGGTTAGGTTGCTATAACAACATATATCTCTGGTCCACCACTCCTGTCTGGCCCTCAAAAACTAGCATTTCAAGTCATAGATTATAATGGTAGAAGTGCCTATACACTTTTGTTCCACAGCCAAGGAAGGTTTTTGCATCTATCAAAATTTTGTTGGATATGCCAAAACAGAAAAACTCACATCTTAATGCACTAAAGTCCATTTTAAATACTTTGTTTGGTGATGGAATGACATTTAGAGGGAAGGGCCCTTAAAATACTTGTTTAAATTGAAGAACATGCGTAATTCAACTTTTTCTTCACTACAAATTAAAAGCATTTAAAACAATGCATCAAAAATGCTGTTGCTGGGTGGTTGTTATGTGGTTGCTAGGTAATGATATGTCACGTATCCAGTCCATGGCATTTCATTTCATGTTTGATTTTTTATTAGTTCAAAGCAAGTGCAACTTTAATATCTGAAGTTATCTTGTTATGTATCAAAGTAGGTAATATTTCATGGATAGGATTGCTATAGCAACGCATATCTCTGGTCCAGCACCCCTGTTGGACCCTCAACCACCAGCATTTGAAGTCATTCTAACATAGATTAAAACGGTATAAGTGCCTTTACTCTACACCTTTTTGCCATAAACATGACAAATTTTCACAGACCTGCTTACAGTCTAAATAGTCACTTGTGTGTCTCAATGAAATACAATTATTGATAGTTACAAAACTAAATAGATTGAAATTATGATAGAATTTTTAGATAGAAAGATGTGATGTATGCAAGTACCTCTAATGCCATGATCCCTGCCCCTCTGTATATTCAATGAGGCTAAGTCAGTCCCCTCTCCAAAAGGAGCACTGTGGGCAAATAAGTGACATGACATTTGTTCTGTGAAGTGAGAGTCAGTTGTCTGGGCTGGTAGACTGGCCTGGCCTTTTAGGATCTTATCCACACCCCCTTTATCTAAGCCATGGGCATATATGGACCCTGGACGACGTGAATGCTGAAATATGTCATATGTGTTCATTTATATTACATCACATTATCAGAGATGGTGAAATGGTTTTTGCAGTTGGATAAGCTGAATAATATGGTACAGATGAAAACAGGGACTATTTGCATGCACTTACTGATCCTAGTATGTCATCTGTGTATATTTTATAAGCATCATCTCTAACAAAACGAATCAAGGCCTCCACTTGTGAGTGACCAAACCTGAATGCCGCAGCCTGGAAGGAGTTTGCTGTACTTGCATCAACATTGGAGTCGTAGCCTAAAATAAAGAAACAACTACATTTATGTTGAATAAAGGTTGAACATTTTGTAGTTGGTATAAAGTTTGATTGCAGGATAAATATTTATTTAATTGAGCTTTTAAATCACAAACACTCTTGCTAGGGTGGTTTGAATCATTTATGAGTTTTAAAACTTGTGCTTCTGTAAAAAATGAATATCCTGACAGTTTTGAGAGTTTTCAAAATGGCACAATACAACGGTGGTTATAATTTGCAAGCCACATGATGAAGAATCCACTGCAACGGAAGTTTGGTATTACTATACCTTCTTGGGGATAATTGAAAATGAAATATGTTGTTGTCATAATAAAATTACCATAATGGTAGGGTGAATATTTAGAGTTCAACTTGATGTTAAATCTTGGAGTGTGTGAGCCGAGCACCAAAGGTAGATATTCCATGTAGACCTGATGCTGCCAAATAGCTCCCAAGATACGTCTACTCTCCTGCAAGTACAAAGACAAAGTTTTCAAAAAAGAAAAAAGACAAGTGTACTTCCTATCACTTGTTGGTGGTGACAAAAAAGTTGATTTGGCCACTTAATTGTGGTACCACATGGCTTCACAAAAACTAATCAACCAACCAACATCAAATTTCACAGAGCTTAGTCATATAAAATATTAGACATTGTTTCTAATAATAGTTTGGGATATTAGGGGTTTGTTTTCTTTATGATTGGTTATGCTAACATTTTTCTGTCTAGTATCATATACAAAAATTGGATTGAATCAGGTTTTATCTTAATCAAATATTTTTTTGAGAATGATGGCAATTTTAAAAGTTCAGATATTTTTCTTGGATCACCTTTTAATAAGAGAAACTGGATCGCTGAGTTGAGTGTAATTAAAAAATGAATAATTAACTTCAAATTAAAAAAACATAAATGAGTTTAAATGGAACAACGAATTTAATATTCAAGATAACAAAATCTGGAGCAATATTTACTTTTAAAAACTATAAACCTAAACTATACAGTAGATACTTTGCAGAATTTAAAAGTCCTCGCTCCATTTGTAACTGCAGAGACATTTGCTTTTTAAATGTAAAAAGGTCACCCCAATATGGGAAAAATTTAGTCAGATTCTAAAATGTCGTATCAAATATAAACATTTAAACATTGGTTGGCCTTTAGGAAACAACATAGCCCACTACAGAAACATTCTTATTACAATAATCTGTTTAGCAATTTACACCAAGTGGTGTGAACAGTCAGAAGAAATTGAAAATGGAAAAATACTGATAAGTTTATGAAATCAGAAATAAATTTATAGTAAAAAAATTCTCCGTCTTGTACTTGGTAAAGTCTTTCACCGTCCCAGTGTGGGTTGATATCATGGAGTCTCTGCTCTATCCTGTTGTGTTCTCTGGCATACACAATGTGCAGTGTTGTCAGGCCAACCCACTCACTGTTCCTCGTGTCACCTGCAACATGATGATTGGCATCAATTGGCCATCTTATTGGTATGCATGTCAAGCGTTTATCAGGTTACTTCAACCTTATACCAGGCTTGCTCCAAGACCAACTGAATTCTGCCCACCTAGGTCTGCATGACTAGTTGATCAAGTTAAACTAGACATTTGATCTACATAAAAAGACCCATGTCATTGTTAAAATCTTAATATTCCTGCCAATGTAAGGTTTGGGTAACCATTTTAAATTTTCAGTGGAACAAATCAGAAAGAAGATACAACATACATGTAAATGATCAACTTTTTATAAAAACTTCTCAGTTTCGGTATAATTGTGAATTCTTGCATTAGGCAGACATTTTGCATTTTCCAAGTACCAAACAGAACCCAGGAATTAGAAAATGATACAATGATTGTAATCAAGGAACCAATCAGAAAAAACATGGACCTGAAATTGAATATTACAAGAATGCCAAATGATGGTCAGAAGATAGCCTAGAACCTGTTCTTCGACTGAAATATTTCAGCAAGGAGAATTTTGATTTTTTGAAAACATGAAATCTCTTACACAGGCTTCATGCAAATGGATGTTACACTCCCCTCCATAAGCTTGGCAACCTTAGCTCCCCCATTGAACTACGTGTTAAAGGCCCTTTACCTTTGACTTTTTATTTACTTAACCTGCGATGAAAATACTTGTACTATTGATGGAAACGTAATTTCACTTTATTTGAATTGTATTTGCTTACTTAATTTAACAAAAATTGATACGTTTTTTCAGGTTCACCAAAGTTTTAGGGCTTTAAAGTCAAAATTGTTATTCAAAAAACTCTCCAATTGAAATAAAACAGGAGGCAAAAAATGATTTTCAAAGATGACTTTGAAGCTATGTAATTTTAGTATTCATCAAGTAAACTAAACACTAAGTGTACAAAAAAGTTAGTCAATTCAATTTTCTATTTAAAAATATTTTTGCTGAATCTTTACGGAATAGATATCCTGATTTCTGATTTCCCCCGAACCTACCATTTCCCATTGGTTTACATGGGAATGACGATTTTCAAAAATTCATCTTTATCATCAATTTTCGACCTATTGTAATTGAGGAAAAAATTGGGAACATTTGGAGGTATTGGAAATAAAGTCAAGTTACGCTTCCATCAATATTATAAGTTATTTCATCGCAGGTTAAGTAAATACAAATTCAAAGGTAAAGAGTCATGTTAATGCCTTGTTTTCGTCTCCCACCCTCTTAATTTTTAGGGTCGCCCAAGGAATTGCTTTAGCATGGAAAATTTTTATGTGTGGGCAGGGGGATGGGTCACCACCTAGTTGCTCACAATATTATTAGTTCAGTCTTAAGTCAGATTTGAATTTCCGAGAACTTGTAGATGATTTTAAAATCAAAATTGGTCAATTTGAAGCAAGTTAAAAAAAAGAACTTTTTGACCCTGACAATGTCATTGAAGGTGAAATCTCAAATCTAAAGTCAGATTTGGGCTTCTGAGAACTTGTAGATGATTTAAAAAAAGAATTTATCAATTTGAAGCAAGTTGAAAAAAGACTTTTTTGACCTTATGAAAGTCAAATATTATTTTGACCTTGAGAATGTCATTGAAGGACAAATCTATAGTCAGATTTGAACTTTTGAGAACTTCTAGATGCTTTTGAAAAAAGAATTAGTCAATTTAAAACAAATTGCAAAAATACCTTTTTTTACCTTGAGAAGATCAATGAAGGTCGAATCTCAAATCTAAAGTCAGATTTGAACTTCTTGTAGATATTTTGAAAAAAAGAATTGGCCAATTTGAAGCGAGTTGAAAAAATATCTTTTTAACCCTGAAAGGGTCAACGAATGTCAAATCTTAAAGGTCAAATAGAAAGAATATCGTTCAAGATCGCACAAGCCACCACCCCCCCCCCCACACACACACACAAACACACACACATACAGCCTGGCTAAGGGCCTGGGTAATATAAAGATAGACTTCAGACAAAAATGAGCGTGCGTGTTATTTGGAAAAAAAATTACCCCAGTAACTTAAAATCATGATGGTCATTTCGAAAAAGCTCCTTTAAATAAGACGGAATCAAAAGCTATGAAAACCAAATTTAGTCTCCCGTTTAAAAAGCCCAATTCTTCACTAAATTGATTGGTTAGATTCTTGGTTTGCGCTGTAACATATTTCACCTACTTATACGAGAATGACCAGAATAGTGGAACCAATTCTAAAAAATTCTTAAAATATACTTCTGGTGGAATGCGCATCGGTTTCCTTACGAAAACTAAGACTTTACTTTATCATTTAGCTTAGACATATTAGACACATTTTATTTTGCTCGTGCAGTACTAGGTTTTTATTTTATTAAACAAAAGGTAACGGTTAAAAATAGAGAATGGAATTGCATTGCTTCACAAAAAACGTTGTAGAAACGAACGTTTAATAATACAATACAATATTTCATGATGTCAAAATCCACCTCATTCTAAAAAATGTGTCTAAATTCCATGATGATCACTTCCAGAATAAAAAAGTTAGAAACTTCTAAATAGCTCTCCGTATTAATCCTTCTCTTGTTCATTTCTTCGTAGGAGGAGAAGAAGTAATATTAGGGAGTTTAAGCTTGCATGTAAAATCGAAACGCCAACCTATGTGTTGTACCTTACCGTAACCGAGCATTATACCATATACTACGTTGATAGTTTGTGAAGTTTGAACTAAAAATTTCACGGTCAAGTTCACTGTCTAGGATGTTGTTACAGACATTTACATATGAAATATCTAGAAACTAGATCAGATCTTTCTGAAACGATGAAAACATCATTTTGCTCAAATGTCATCACCTTCGTGTTGTACCTATAGTGCGCGTTCACCTGTCATGCTTAAATTGGTACACACCCTGTGATAATAGGACCCGGTGTAAAAGTATTTCTGGTCCTACCTAAATATGGTCCTACGGACCATTATCCCTAGTAAAGATGGTCCGACCTAATCTCCTGGGGCATACAGTCCCACCTGCTAGAGTAGGTGGTCCCAATCGGACCAAAATCCCTAGGGTTATTGGTCCTGGACCATTATCTCTAGGGATATTGGTCCTGGACCTAAATTCCTGGAGAAATTGGTCCTACGGCTTTTTTTCAAGGGAGTAATGTTCACTTTGGAAACGGGTTATATAATTTAATATCTCTTGAATAGAAAACGATTGAAGATGTATATCTTGTCAACTATTTTATTCTGTTACACGTATACATGTGTATTTACGAATCACTGATGGAATCGGTTTCTGAACTTTGGTCATAGGATGTGCTTTTGAAATTTTTTAAATTGCAACCATTTGCTATTTGCTTCAGAATTAGTCCCTCTTTGTTTCTTATTTTGTATGTTGTCTTTCCAACTTGCTCAACAACCGTGTAGGGACCCATCCACGGGATCTCGTTTTCCCGCCCTTTCTGTCAGAACGTTTAAGGTTCTTTTTCAAGACCTTACATCCAATTTTCGACTTTGACACTTTATTGAAAGAATTAATAAAAAAAATCGAGCAAGAAATGAAAAGGCAAATTTAGCAATTATTTTAGATGAACCGGAAAAGGACTCGAACTTTGTACCTGGTGGAATGAAAGAAACACAATGTCAATACAATCATAAAAAGTACATACAATAACATATACATAAGCTAACAAGTCCAACGCCTTACACTGCAAACGATGCTGACCAACCAAATCGATGTGTCTATAAACTTAATCACCCGCTTAAAGGGACCACCTTCTCTTTTACTGATGTGAAAGAAATCATGGTCCTACTCTAGTAAATGGTCCTACCGTCTATATAATATTTTAGAACTACAGTATTTTCCCTACAGGGATTATGGTCCAACAACAAGTATGGTCCGACTCGGACCACCTACCCTAGAAACCAAGTTCCTAGGGTAGATGGTCCTACAGACCTAAATCCCAAATTACTCCTCTTTGCAATGGAATACTATTATTCATTCACAGGGAGTCATGACTGGCCGAATAATCATTAATTTTGCAAAGTGGGGCAAAATTCAGCTCGGACCTAAGTTTTAAACATTGCAAAAGTTAGTTCAAGGGGCATAGGGGCTATTGGAAGAAGGTGTGACAGGTGTGGCATAGACAGTAAAGTGTCCATACTCACACTCTTGCAAGAATACACCCTATAACCCCTCCAAATTGCCACCAATTCCTTGCACATAAAGATGCGCTCATCTGTCCATGTCATGCATGGTTCAGCCCTGAATCATCTGTGGGTCAAAGCAGAGAAAAGCAGCCCATGGGCAATTCTTTCTCGAGGTTTTGCAATATCTGGTGGATGAATCGTGAGCACAGATGCTCCTGAGATAGCTCCAAAAGAAAAAGTCACAACAATTCAAGTCAGGGGAACTTCCATTGGCACTTAGCCCTTGTACCGATTTTTTGCAATATCTAAAACTTGGAGCAGAGCCGATTTTGACCCACTGTGCAAATGGAAGGATTTCTCATCTAACCAATACCACCTGTGAATGAATGACATATCATTGCAAAGAGGAGAGACGTGGCTTTATGGTACATTGAATTAAATTGATGTATTCATCACTAGTTTTGTGATTTTACGAGATAACTACTTGTTGCGTTTTTTTATACGCCCTGTATAATGTGCATTGTAAATGGATTGATTTGATGGTAAAATTGGGATGTGATGTGATTTTACTTATTGTGTAACATGTTTTTGTCATCATTGCTAAGGAATACAATATACCATATACAGGGTGTTTCATATGTATGCACCCCCTCTAAACTCATACATGTAACATTGTCACCCTATCATGTTATACAGGGCGTCCACAAAAAAGTATACCCAACTTCAAATCTAAATTACTAGAATCCTAAGCAGTTTTTATAAAATACAAAGGTAGTAGTAAAAAGCCTGATTTATTCTCCATCACATGGTACCAGGATCATTATATAACTGTCATGTATATGACTGTGTAATCTTAACCATTATGAGAGGTGG